AGCTGGTATGTGTTTGCAGTACACAAGCCGCGGTTAAGACAGCTGACTCTACTGTGATGTGACGCTGTCTCTCTCTCTCTCTCTCTCTCTCTCATACACACACACACACGCAACATGCGCAAAACTCCGCATTTGAACAGTCAATAGCAAATACTTAAATTAATAACAAAACAGTAGCTGATTCAGAAGCGCCAGATTGTCATAGCAAAGTCAGAATTACCTCCTCTCCTATAGGTTCATGAAACGGTCGTCCATAAAATGCATTGCTGTTCTGTTGTAAGTGATCTTAAAGATTCCTAAATGCATCTACTTTCGGAAGGCCAAATAAAGTGCTTTTGCTTTTGCCTAGAAACACACAGCGTCTCCCTGACATGGCTGCTTCAACACTAACTGCGGTTACTGAAACCACGCCTTCTTTCTTTGCGTGAACGGAATTATGCTAATATTTCCACATAGTGAGGTAGATATGTGGGGGCGTGTTAGAACGAGCCGTTTTAGGGGGGCGTGGCAGAGTCTTAACTTTGATAAAGAATATCTCTTTGGTTTTGAGACTTTAGTATTTGCAACTTCAGGGATCTTATCTATGCACAATCAGCTTGTAACACTCCAAAGAGAAAGGAAAATTTGAAATCGCATCATATGACCCCTTTAAGTAAATGTAATTGAATGGAACTTAATGGATTCCTAGATCGTCTTTTATTTTTACCAAAACAAGCATTCACTACTACTTAGTGTTTGTTTGTTTGTTTGTGTAAAAATTAAGGAGAAAAAACACTACATTAGATATATTGATCTCTATTCCTCTAGCCTAGTTATTTTGTCACAAAGTAAATGATTGCATTAGCTCGTTTCAGTCCTTGATGGTCTTCTTTGAATGATCTGCTCTCTACCAAAGAAAGCAGAGACCGAATTTTCCATGACGCGAGTTCTTTTCAGGTTTAAAAAAATCAGCGGGTTCACGGAGCTCAACGTGATCTGTGTACAAATATTAGGCTTGATTACAACTTTCTGAATTTATTACGCTTTTGACGCCAACGCAGACCAAAGCTGGCACATATTTCACACTTTTGCGTTCGTCTCTTTAATGCATTATGTAATGCGCGTGAATACTCTCTCCAGTTTAACAGCCCAGCGAGTCAATGGGGATTGTTTGGTGAAGGGTCCTGCATACTAAACCCCACTGTTCTAATGTGGTTGCTGATGCCGACTTAGTGATTGACAATGGCAAATGTAGATCAGAACATAAACGTATAAAGCTGTGGGTCTTTGCATAGAGCTTGTTTCAGCAGACAATGAGACTATGTGCTGTGCGTGTGCGGAATTCCACACAACACTAAACGAAGCTGCTGCCAAAAAAAACTCCACTTCGTATCCCCACCCCCACTTTCCCTCTCCAGCTCAACTCCATTCACTATGATGCTCGACTCCTAGCGAGAAGCTCCTCCGCACCCGACATCCGTTGTAAGGGGAAACCTCAATGAAATTCAAGAACAAATCTTGGCCAGAATTAACGTTTGTACAGCGAGCGTGAAGTGAACCTGAAGATAGCACCGATCAGTGCGTTCATCAAGACTTTATTTTGGGGGCACTTTTAGTATTAACGTTTTTCCCCCCTAAGGCTTTCCCGTCACTTTTCTTCACAGAATACATCGAAATATTCTTATTCTTATCTAAAGATAATTATCTAAAAATAATCTTTTTTTTTTTTAAACGAAAAAAGTCTGAACAGTTGTTTCACACAGTATTCGACTTTCTTGGACTGCTGCAGACTTTATTCGTGGGCTGAAATCTCGCAGTAAATCGCCTGGACCGCTCGTATATGTGATTGGTTTAACAAGTACCTTTATTCTTCAGTGAGAGATCATGGAGCGCGACTCTACCGCGGGAGGGGCGGAGGACCTGCTCCTGGAAGACAAAGTTTCAAAGCTGGCAAGTGACCATAACCATAATGCACCAGACTTATGTGGTTACTTTTGATCAGGGCATTGTAATGACCATACCTGGCTGGATTAAGTGCTCGGTGCAATATATAGTAGTCAACAATATAATAGAACGCAGATAAACGAGGTATTACCCAATTGTAAGTAACTTCTTGTATCAATTTTTAAATTCATTACTGGTACAGTAAAACTGTATCACCCAAGTTTCACCTGCTCATCATTATTTAGGTCATTTAACATGGGCGATTATTATTCCATATACTTAATATATTACATTAGGCCTATAGATATATTGTAGTAGAGGCATTTGAAAATCCCTCTGGTATCTTAAGGAGCTGTTTCTACCTGAGCTGGGGTGCGGTTCCCAAAAGCAACTATGTTCGCAAGTTCCGTCGTTACCAATAGAGTTCAATGGAACTAACAACCAAAGTTAGCTAACGATGCTTTTGGGAAACGCACCCCTGGTTGTTAAAAATGACTTGTATTTATGTAAGCAGGTTGAATCTGTCATATTAAATAACACTGAGTAAAAATTAAGTCCAAAACTATTTACAGTTTTATGGCAACAAGTAAGATTGAATTAACATGATTTAATGCATTAGGTATCATGAAGTAAAACGAACAATTTATATTTAATGTTCATTCACAATACAGTAGTAAATCTTTATACAACTTGTACAAATATGCAAAATACAACTTTATACAAAACTGTTTCTATATCGAAATTAATATTAACCTAGATTAAAAATGATTTTTTTATTGTTAGTTAATGATAATAAATGCATTGACTAATGTTAACATACTGAATCCTTATTGTTTCCAGCTTAGAACAGTTTTTAAAAGCACATTTTATGTGTGTCTTGATATTGAGAATGAGTGTGTAACATCTGGCTGAAGAGTGACCCTGCAGATCTTTTGCAGCTGTGAGAGGTTAGATCTCCCAACATGGGTCAGCAAGTGTGTGGGTCCTCTTCTGCCTCTCGTAGATCAATG